CCGGGATATTTCGTTTCGCAGCCCCGAGTGAGCTTCCCCCTTCTTCTCCGCGCCAGATGGAGAGGCATTTGGTTTCTCTTTTAACCATGTTACTTTTGCGAGGAGAATAAAACGAGCAGGAGCAGCTATTGGCCGCAGCAACATCAGAAAGCCCTGCTTTGCCAGGGGAAACCACATAAAAGCGCGGGTGTGCGTGCGTCTTTGGGGGGAGGGCGCAGCGAGGGATGATGCCGGGAGCTTCTTGCACTCGGAGCTGCGATTTGTGAGTGAAACATGATGAAATCACCCCCTGGACAAATCACACGAGCCTGTCAACCTCACCAGGTGGGATTGCTCGTAGCTAATAGCCCGAACTCCCAGAGCAAGGAGAGCTCCGCGCTCGCTGTAAGGACAAGGCGGCGGCGCAGCGCAGGCTTGGCGAGAGCCCGCCGGGATGGCTGGGACGGGCTGCGGCCGCTCGCACCAGGTAGGGGAGGAGAGGAGCGTGTTTGCTTTTAGAGGAGGAGTAGCCCGTCTCTCCTGCCTTAAGTTCCTACAAAAAGGAGCGTTTCAGCTCCGGACAGAGATGTTTTATTCATAAACCCCTTCTGGTTTGTGTTACTCTCCAACGGTGACGCTGTCAGCTGCTGCTCCGGTGATGGGCACTGCAGCGCCGGGGAGCTCCAATGTACAGAGGACCATCCCTGCCCCTTTCATCGCAGTGCTCTTGGCTCCCGCGTCCTGCTTTTTGCACAGTTTGCTCACTTTGCTCTTTTACTTTTGCAGGTTATATCTTTATTTGCTTTTGCCTTTGGAGTAAATGTCTGCATGGGATTTACAACAAATCGATTTAGGAGATCTGAAGAATGGGATGAGGGCCCGGTCTCAGGTACAGTAACAGACATAAATTGTACATCGCAATACCCTTACGTTATATACTGTGGTTAGAAACCACTCCTACTCCGAAACAGTAGTTTGCTTGTTCCTTTTCCCTCTAGGATATAGAGAAGAATAAATAACTCACCGAGCCCGAGTCAGTTGACCTTTGGGACTCACCTATAGGTCTCCTATTTACTTAAACTTTTGCTCTGTGTGCATGTGACTATGGAAAATCTAGCTTATTTTAGGACTGAGCACTGTCAGTCTCGCAGAGACCGCTCTCATCAGCTCCCACGTAGCATTTGCCATGTTTTGTGCTCCGCGCAGTTTCCTTCTGGCGCTAAGAGAAACACCCCGATGGCTTTAAGGGTACCGGTTTTACTTTGGTAGCTATTGAGGCGGTTTCTAGAAACTTGATTAATGCTTTCAAGAGGCGCTGGTGAGAAAAGCTGTGGGGATTTCTGTGGCTCCTGAGGTCATGCTGGTTTGTGAACAGCAGACGGCAGGCATCCGACGGCGGAGAGGGCCGGGGAGAGCAGAGCAGGTGTTCGCCCAGATGTGCTGTCACCCAGGCGTCTGTTTGTCTTTTCGCCTCCGACTTTTTTCTTTGGAGGAAAGCAAGGACATGCCACAGAAGGGACTGTTGTTTGCATTCTGCGGCAGTATAGGGTTTTGTGAGCTCAGGCATAGTCCAAGTGGAAAAATATATAACATGGAAAACTAGTCTTTTTTCTTTAAAAAAAAAAAAAAAAAGTAGGCTTGACTTGTGTCTCTGTTCCTCCCTTTGGCAGGAGAAAGGAAACCTGTGGTCATTGACTTAGAGCTGGTTAATAGCTTGTGAATTTTAATTACAAAATTGTTTACCGTGGCCGGAGTTTGTTGTGTTCCTGGTAATGAATCTGTGTCCCCCTCTCCCTGCTCTTTCACAGGAATTGGTGCCTAATCACAGCCACAGTCAGGGCTGCTGATCACTGAGCAAAGGCATTTTAGGTAACCAAAAAGATAGTGGCTGTTGCTTTTGATCTTTATAGAACAGTAAAAAAAAAAGGTGCTTGGAAGACCAAATTTATTTCTATTTTTATCTTCTAGTACGTTAACTGTAGGGCAGTTGCGTAGTGTGTGTAACAGTGACGTGAAGGATTTGCATTTCATGTCTTCAACACATGACTGCCAGTTGCTTTGCTTTGGCTGGTGACCGTCTAGGCTTTTGGCAGGGCCGCTCAGGTGATTTTTACTGAAGCCCCAAAGGTCTGATAGTGGGGACCCACTGGAGCTCATCGGTGCCAAGTCTGTTGAGCCAGCCAGCACCCTTCAGCGCCGCCAGGGCTGGGGTCAGCAGCTGCAGGCTCTTTCCCATAGCAGGAGGTTTAGCTCAGCATTCCAGGAAAATAGGAAGAAATACAGGATCTCTTGCAAGAGGGCAGGAGATGAGGTACTTTTGGCAGTCTGTTGAGAATTTGCTTACAGGTGGGATTGGACCAGAACCTGGCATTGAAGTAGCCTGGTCCAGGGTGCAACAATGAGAGACAGAAAAGTAATGGAGAGTTTTGTCCCTTCTGTGTTTATGCAGCTTGGTTACTTTTATTGCAGTAAAAAAGAAAGGATGTGATGGCAAAGAATGAAGTATTATAGTCACATCTGTCTAAAGGAGAAAGTAAAAGTTTATACTGGAGAGTTGCTTTTCTTAATAAAACACTGTGATGGAGGAACCTATTTAGGCTCCCCTAGTTGCATGACTTCCAGTGGTACTTCTTCAGAAGCCCAGTGCAATGAAATATCCAGAATAAGAGATTGTTATAAATTCTTTTTCAACTCCACTCTGCTTTGGCTTATTTATTTCCAAGTTCCTTGGTGTCTAGAATGAATTATTTTGCATTGACAAAACACTGTCTCTTCACCAACCATTACTGCATATGTCCAATTCGTTATTTCTCCAGGGGTATGCCATGGTTAGAAGGAAATTTCAGTTTTCTTCTGGCATAGAACTCATCTATGAGTCAAGAGCAACATGGTTTTTTTCCCTAGTTCCTTAAAAATGCATGTCAAAGAAGTACCATAGTGCCTAACCCCCACCTTGTTCTGTTTTTACAGTGTACAGATATATATGCCCTTGCACACTTGAGATGTTTAATATTTTTAATGAAAAACTATTTCATTGAAATTATTTTTTTGACTTAAAATTTCTGAAAGACATTAGAGAACCAAGGCTCCCATTTTTTCATAACTTTGCCTTTGTGATTTGCTTTATGATCTTTCTAGACATCTTTATGAGAACTTTCAGGGAAAATGGCCTTAGTACTCTCTTGAAGCATGTTCCTTGGTCATGATAGGATGATACCTCAAATTTTGGAAAGAGAAACACTGAGGTTTTTGTACCCCTTCTCACTGGATTTTTAAGAATGTCATTAAAAATTGAGTCATATGTTATATAGGAAAAGTCAGCAGGTATTTCTCATTTTGTGTGACTTCTCATTGAAATGCTACTCACTGCAATGGCATTCTGAAAAATGAAATGCAAGTTCATAATATGAATATTATTTAGCAAAACTGGTGTTCCAGATGTTTTATGTAGGTATTTGTTTGATCCACATAAGTTCCATAGGATCCAAAATGGCAAATTCTTACCAGGTAGTCTCCTTCCTTTAATGGTTTGAAGCTGCGCCAGGGCAGGTTTAGGTTAGATATTAGGAAAAACTTCTTCACTGAAAGGGTTGTCAGGCTCTGGAATGGGCTGCCCAGGGAGGTGGTAGAGTCCCCATCCTTGGAGGTATTTAAAAGAAGGACAGATGAGGTGCTTAGGGACATGGTTTAGTGGTGGGATGGGAGGGTTAGGTTAAAGGTTGGACTCGATGATCTTAAAGGTCTTTTCCAACCAAAGCGATTCTATGATTCTATGATTCTATGATTCCTGTAACGTCTGTGTAAGCATGTCTATATTTTGTAGTCCTATGATTGAAATACTACTGGAAGTAAATGGATTTGGTTTTTTTAAAAAATATTGTAATCAGATAGAATCAGAGCAAGTAGTTTGATATGGCACTTTCCAAGGTAAACACGCCACATTTAAAATGGAAAGGTATTAACCTCCATGGACTGAATCAGGAAGGCAGTAGTGCCCTATGTAACTTCTCTCTCTAACATATGACATTAGAGAGAACCCTTAGATGGCTGGTTTGAGCTTAGTTGGGAAAAAAATAGAATGCATGGAAAAAGATGTGAAAAGCTTTACGTATTAAATAAGGAGGGGAGGATCTTCATGTCCCTCTGCCTGCTGCATGGTCACATTGCAGGACCTGGGGAGGGATGCAGGGATTTCAAAAAGGATTTGGAAATTGTGCAAGTTTGTTCTGTACAGGGGCTTCTGTTAATTTGAAAATGCTCCTGATGATATATTTTCAAACTATTCTGCATGCACCAGTACCCATGCCACGGCATTGTGCACGACCTGAAAATCATGGTCTGGCTGCAAAGGCAAGGTCAAGCGTGATAAACAAAGGAGCGATCTTAATGTATTCAGAGATCAGAGGAGTTAAACCAAGTCCTCTTTTGTGCTGTGATATGGAAAGTGTCCTACATTGACTCAGGAGGTGTGACTTGAATTTGCTAAGTAATTTGAGATAATTTGTCACATCAGTAATAAAGCATTTGTCAACAGATGTGAAAAAATAACAGATAAGGTAGCTGGGCTAAACCTTTCTTATGTGAAATGGAAACCCTACTTGCAGTTATAGGAGATGGAGCTAGAGGGGACCTTGAACAGCCGTGTAGACCTTCTCTATATCCCAAGACCTGGTCAGTTATTACTGAAGTGCTCCTGACAGATCTTGCTCTAACCCGTTCTTCAAAACCTCCCAGATTAGAGATTGCACAGCCTCTGCGGGCAATTTGTTCCAGTGGTTTCCTGATAAATGAGCCTCTCTTTACGACAGCTAGGCATTCCTTGAGCTGCAGTTGACTCTGTCCCTTATGTAACCTGCAGTCAGATTTACACCTTCTCTTTCCTAAACGCACATTGACGTGTGGTTTTTATCTTCTGAAATGATCTCCCTCTCATCCCTTTGAAATGAAAAGGGCAATGCCACAGTGTAAGGGATACATAGGGTATGCTAGTATGTAGTACCTTTGAGTCCATAGTACCTTTGATTTGCAGCTTACTGGATCTGCGATTACATATCACCTAGCTTCCAAAAAGGAAAGTAGTAGAAGAGGTTAATTAACATGGAAATATTCTTTAGCAACAGATTTTCAGAAGCATTTGGCAGGAAGCAGCTGTCATTAAGAATAAGGAACAAGACTTCATATCTCTGAAATCTGAGTGTTTGAAACAATTCTCATGTGATTAATTTCTAACATAGCTTTGTGGCCTATTTATGTGAGCAAAGAAAATACTGATCTGTATGTTGCCAGCACAGATACATGACCTTTAACTCCTTGGAACTCTAGATAGTCAAAATACCGATGGCTCATTATGAGCATGCTTGCAGGGTATGTACTTACAGAGTGAAACTTTACTGTGTGTATGATCTTACTTGCTCTGATCATTACTTACCTGATCGAAAAAACCCACAAAAGCAGAGAGAGACATAGTTGTCTACTACTACCTTTTCCAGAACTTGCGTGAATGTGCCTTGCCACTGCCATGATCCATGACTACAACCATGGTTGGTTTGGTTTTCTTACTCATTATCTTGCTGTAGGGTTGATTTGCTTCCAGGTTTTCTCCCTGAAGTGGTTTATGCTGGTGTCCAACCAGCGCCAGGGAAGCGGCGGGGCAGTAGGGCTGGGGATGGGAGCTGGTGGGACATCAGCTACTACAATGTCACCTCCAAACTCCCCCTTCATCTTCTTGTCCATTGATTCTCATGGTGTTGGGATCTTGTTTGGGAAGAGATTTGCTCTCAGTTTGTGTGGAGACTAAACTTTCAGCTATGTAAAAGAGCAGGGGAAAAAATATATATGAGGAGATCAGTGCAACTGTTTCCCAAAAGTGCCATTGCATCAGTCCTATTAAAATCATACTGCTAATCATGGTGAGGTTTGCCAAAACTAAAACCAAACCCAAACCGTGGTCTAAAAGAAAACAAGGCCCAAGACAATTTCAAAGACTCAATTTTAATAGGTCTCTTAAGGAACAATAGCCATTGTGAAATTTTCCTTGGAACACCTCTGTTTTTAAAGAATAACATATATTCGTTAGTGTATTTCATAAAATACTATTAACCCTGGAGAGTGGCACACAATTTTCCTGCTTCATATAAGCTGCTATGTAGGATTCTCTTATGGGAGAAAAGTATAAAATATTTTAAATCTATACAATACTAAGTTTTGAGAAAAGAGCAGAGAAGTACATATCAGCTTTGACAGTAAGGGCCCTTACTAATAAAGAGATTATTGAAGTCTAATACATTATTCATGGTTTTCAGACTGGCAGTCCTGCATTTAGTTATATACATCAAATATATTGATTTCTTACATACTTTTGTATTTTATTAAGTTTTTATAATTTAATGCTCTGCAGAAGCCCACCAAAAAGCCTTGCTTTGTCTCTCCATTAATTTATAGAGCATCTTGCAGTTTTCTTTCACACTTGACATTGATTTGGCGCCTTCTAGTACAGCAAACCAAGTCCTGCTGACTGCATGTAAGATTAATTACAGCCCTTTCCTATGCAAACTGCCCAGCCAGCCATGAAAATGTCACTTGGTTTCTGAAAACAAAGGTCTGCTTCTGAGGAATAGCTGCAGCTCCTGGAATGGGGCCTTGGAGACTTCAATACATTTCTGCTAATGATCTCTTGATTGTTGCAGAGGTAAAGCCAGGGCTGTTTCTTTGCAGGACATTATCACAGCAAGGCTGCTTCCTCTTCCCCGCCGCCCCGCCCCCCCGTTTTTTTTTTCTCTACAAAAAGAGCAACCTTTTTGGAATTTGTTCTCTTTTTTTGTTTGTTTTGTTTTTTTTCAAGCAGCCCTTCTCCTCTTCATGCTCCCTATCCCATAGCAGGCAGACAAGGTTTTGCTCATCCGAGTGGCTTGGGGCTGAGCTGCCCGTCCCACCACTGCTGGCCTGACAGATGTTGCCCTGTTTCTTGTTCCACACAGTCCTGTCAGATTCCCCCTGGATCAGTACTTCTGGTTCCTGCAAAAACAGATGCTTTGAACTTCAAGAGGCAGAGCCTCCTGGCTGCCGCTGTGACAACCTGTGCAAGAGCTACAACAGCTGCTGCTTCGACTTTGATGAGCTGTGCTTAAAGACAGGTACGATGGGTCTCCTGTCCCGCACCGCTGGGTGCTGCTTATGCCAGCGGTCGGAACCTGCCACAGTAAGGCAGAGCTCCCTGCCATAACCTGCATCTCCTCTGCACGTCACCTTGCCAGGCAGGCTCGGCTCAGCCCAAAATGCAACCCATATTTCCTTGCAAGGAGCCGTAGGGATGCGCACCTACCAATCCTCACCACTGGGCTTCAGCCGTGGTTTCCAGGGCAGAAAAAGCACGGTACTACTCATACCACATGAAAAGGAGATCTTGCGATACTCAGTTAAAAGCAGTAATCAGCGTTCAGGCACCAGTTTGATCTCCAGGTTACAATGAAAAGAGCCATGGTAAAGGCTGGAGGTTGGTCATTCCGTGTCAGCCATCCTTTTTTCTCCCAAGTGATGACGTAATATTGGAGCAATTCATGCTTGTTTGTGGACTGTGCATTACGGTTACTCGTGAAGGTGCCTCTGAAGCTGGGAGCACTGAAGCGGTGCAGGTCCTCTCGGAGTGAGCTGCAGGTGACAGGCTGGGCTTGTTACCCTTGCCCCAGCCTCCAACTTCCAGATGTCAGGATGCACATAACACGCTGGTAAAAACGTTTGACTTCAATTCATTGGACCCTGGGGGATGGAAATACGGCACTGGATTCATTTTCTTTTTGTTTTTTTCATGAGTCATAGGCAAGGAAAACTTCAAAGAGGGCCATGAGTTATGTTTTACTTCTTAGCATAGTGCATTTAAATTATTAGTTGTACCCATCTCCTTGAGTGTTTGCACAGTGGTCAGAGTTGACACAGGTGCCTTCTACTTTCGCCATTAAACATTTTCTTGCTTTATCAAAGAATTACACTTACTAAGCAGCCAGAAGAGAAGACTGATGATTAAAAATATCATTGCCCATGGATGTGCCATGCTTGAGAGTCCTGACTTCCTCAGTTCTATTTATAATGATATCACTTTAATAGCCTGGTACCAAAAAATGGTGAGCTAATCCAGTATGAAAAACTACATTTTTTCCAGGCCAAAAACTTTGGAATTTTTAGGCTGACGCTGTTTTGCCCCTGGTGTAAATGACTGCAGAATGAGAGGCTCTTTTTGAAGACTTTCAGCACAATACAAGATGTTTGCTACCAAAGGGCAGATTTTCAGTTCCTCAGCTTCCTCTCTGCATGTGTGTGTGGATGCCTGCATAGCCCTTGGGACTGTTGTGTGAATTGTCATGTACTCCCATAGGCATTCATTAAGGCAATTACCACATGTACAATCTGTAAATATTACTTGTTCATAGAAAAAAGCCCCAAATGAAGGATAAAAAGGCGTAAAAGACATTGCTCTGATGTGGTGTGTTTTTTACTGTGTGCATGCAGTCTAAAGTGATTTTTAAAGTTTCTTATTGATTGGGCCAGGACATGGAAAACCAAATGCTTACATCCACAGACCCTGTTCCAAAGTGTAGCAATCTCGAGAGCACCCTCATTTAGACAGGCCCTTAGCTCCTAATTTCATTTGCAAGATGAGAAGAGCTGGAGTGTTTTACAGCAGCCGTGCCATGCTTTTCCTTGAAGAGCAGCTCTTGTTCTCGTAACTTTGCAGTTGGCACTGAATCTCCCCCTGTGGGTGAGGAACTGGTGGGAGTAAAGCATCAATCTATATCTAGATAGTCTCCTTTTAACTTTCTCTTGTTTCCCATGGATTGAACTGGGAGAAAAGGAATGGAATACCCAAGAAACACCAGAATTCTCAATTTGTGCTCCAGGCCCCACCATTTATCTTTCAAGATCCTTGTCTTCTCCTTTCCACACTTTTTCTGGCATTCAGGTTGTACAAAGCCTGGAGTACAACACCTGAGGGTAGCAGAAGCACTTGTGTGGGGGTGGAGGAGCCCTCCTGCACTTGTGGGACACAAGGGTCCTTTTTGTTTCTGGTTGACATGCCTATTTCAGAGGTCTTGAAATCACTAAAATAGGGCCATAAACTTTACATCCAACGTTAACGACTGGAGCGGCTTGAGTGAGTACTTTTTGGTTTGATTATAATCTCTCATTCTTGCTTACCTTGTGAACACTTTAGCTCGGGGCTGGGAATGTACCAAAGATCGCTGTGGAGAAACCAGGAATGATGACAATGCTTGTCACTGCTCTGAAGACTGCTTAAGTAGAGGAGATTGTTGCACTAATTACCAAGTCATTTGCAAAGGTACGACTTTGGTCTTTCTACCTCTTATCTTTCCAAACCTGATAGAAGACAGCCCTGTGGGTATAGAATTTTCTGCTAAAGAAGGAACCCTCTCCTTGTTTAGTTCTGGTTTTTGGGAGGAGGGGGGAAGAATGGGGAAGTAAGTTTGTAATTTTTTTGGCACTAGCAGAGGTGATTTATTATTGATACTACTTATTGATAGTAGAAGGACGTTGTCTTTGCCTGTAGAGATACTGATAAAAATCGAAGAGCCATGGCTGGATGAAGAGTTTAAAGCAAGACGCAAAAGTGTTCAGGTGCATTTGTCTGTGTCACAGGGAAAGCAGGGATATCTGATGGTCTCAGAAGGAATGGAGCATTCCTAGATATGTTATCTCCATCTCAGAGACCTCTCCCTACCCCCACCACAAAAGCTCCTGCTCATACTACTTGGCCTAACACCTGTAGGCTTTGTTTCTTGTGGGAGAGGGGTTGTGAGAATACAAGGGCTGTATTTCACAGATGGGTGACATGGGCTTCAGATGTCACACTGGGGATGACCCTGCTACCTTCTAGACACACCATGGCTGCAGTATGGCCTGCACTGGTTGGTGGGTGGATGGTCTGTGAAGGCTTAATGTTCATCCTCTACCCTGATCTTTTGGAGCATGTCCTGCCTTGGAGCATGTCCTACCTTGTGTAATGTGTCTCCCATTTGGAGCAGGTCTTCTGATCCTTGGTAATGAGGTTTATGGGTTCTTACTTTTGTATCTCAGCTAGTTCTTAGTTTTTCCATTCATTAACTTTACTGGTGAAAGGGTTACGGTTTGAAATTTTTTCTTCCACCCCATTTTGGCCAACTGCGTATGTTCAGAAAATTATAATAGTCAAGATCCATACTTTCTTTACTTCTTTTCTTCTTTACTTGAGTTTTGCTGTTGGGAATCCAAATGAAATGTGTATCTTCCAGCAAGTCCCCATAGATTATGTTCTTCCTCTTCCCAAAGAAACCCAAGGCTGAGACCACTTAAACACTGGTATAGTTTCAGTTCCTGCCTTTTTTGTGAGCTCCCTCTTACAAGGGTCAAGACAGAGGAATTTACATGTCTCCAGCCTTAATGTACATAATTTCTGTTTAATTGGTTAATAACAAATTATCTCAATGACCCTGGCACTCTGACAGGAGTAAGCCTTATGTGAGAACAGTGTTTCCTCTTTATTCCTCCCCTTGCCTATCTGAGGATAGGTTTTCTTTCCTTGGAAATTGTCCCTCCACCTCCTGTCATGGTCAGTTGGAATTGCTGCAGGACACATTTCCTGCAGATTTTTTCTATGGTCCTTTTTGTTTTGTTCTTTTAATTGAACTGCAGTTCCTTTAATAGTGTCAGGTTCAGGAAGCAAGCCTCATTAGATAATAATTCGTTTTTCAATTGACCTGTGAAAGTGCAAGTCATGAGCTACTCTATAGTCAGCATTCAGCAGTGAAAACCTTAAGAAAATAGTTGATTACATAAAGTAATTTTAACAAATCTAGCTCTGAAAGAGTATTAATGCTTTTTTTAGCTGTGTCTGGGTCTCACCTGATCCATGAGCTGATCAACTCTCTAAACCAGCTGGAAACTATTTAGGGTTGTTTTTCTTCCCCAGAATGAATTTTGTTTTGTGTCTTTAGCCAGCTGAATCAGCTCATGGAGACATTAGAGCTGGTGGGGAGGAGGGTGGGAATTCACAGCCAGAAGCAGCACTACCTGTTTTTGACAGATCAAAAATAAAAAAATTAAAATAGATGACCACTGTGCCTAAAGCGTTACCACTGTCTCCTGTGGTCAAAAGGACACTTTTAACTCCAGTTTTAACAGCTACTTCTAGGATTGCTAGTTTGGATATTCTTGTTGAATAGAATATAACCAGATCATTTGTTCAGCCTTGTGAAAAGACCTGCTCATTTTTCATGGGAAGTATGACAAGACAGTCCATTAACTGGAGCTAGACTTTATTTTTTTGACATTTTCTGTGAAACTTGTAGCTGTGTCCACAGGTGTGGGCTTTTTTTGAACTCCAGTGTAACTTTCCTGATAGGAGAAACCCACTGGGTGGATGATGACTGTGAAGAGATAAAGGCTCCTGAGTGTCCAGCAGGGTAAGTGTTTTGCATGCAACTGCAAAGTCAAATGCAGCAAGGCCAGTGGTCCCCAGCTCTGCCCTGGACCTCTGAACACCACGTTTCTGCACTGGCCCTGTCACAGGCTGAATGACTGGGGGTTGGATGCTTTTCTGTACTTCACTGTTTGTACAATTAGGCTGATGATATTGTCATGCATTTGCCTTGAGCTGCTGGATGAGTAGTGGTCTGTGATATGTGGGCTTGAACCCTTGGTCTTTGATCACCTGCTGATGGGTTGGCCTGCTTCACTTACCCACATAAGGAAGGTAACCAAACTCCCTTGAAGTCAGTGGAAAGGTTTTTCTGATTTTGATAAAATTCAGGTCAAGCCACATGTGAACACAGTTTTTTAAAATTGAATTTTGTACTTTTAGTGTTATCGTCCTAAATGAAAGGGTTTCTAAATTGCAATGGGATACAGGCTTGACTTAGTGAGGTATCTGAATACATGAATAACATTGAGAAATTAAGCACTTTTGACCAGTGGGCTCACTATTATCCTTAAAGGTGAGTGTCTGCTCAGGTGCTGCGCCGGGTTGCAGCTCAGTCCATGCTATTCGGAGGACAGTTTGGAGGAGATAGGAGCCCCTGCCTCTCCTGGTGACAGTGACGCTGCCGCCCATGCAGCGGGTGATTAACATTAAAAGTTCAGGTGTGTCCATCTGGGACACAGCTCTGCCTGCTTAGGGTCCACTCCCAGTAGCAGTAGTAAATAAAAAAGTAATAAAATAACATGAAATACTGTCATTTTTAGTATGTGAGAATGAGCTCTGCCTCACAGAGCTCACTCAAAATGCCACATGGACTTCTGTTTGTGAAGAGAGAGAACCAGCTGTCATGAGACATGTGGTTTTTAACTACAGATTGTATGCTAGGGTGGGTACTCATGCATACTATTTTTTTTCCTTCTCCATGTCCTTCTATAAGCACTTGCCTTTTTGGGCTATATGCTTTTAACTGCTCAGGGAAGATGTCTTTTATGTTGGAGCTCAGCCTTTTCACTGACTGTGAACAAGCACTGGACATTACTAGGCATGAAGATTATCAGTTTGTGATGATATGTTAAGTAAGCAAAAAACCTACATATATAGACATATATCATATGGAGTAACTGTACCTTAGATTCTCTGGAGTCTCAGTGAGCAAGTGGAAATAAAAAAAAATTTTGAAATGCTGCCTTACACTCCTGCTGCTTTTGCTTTTAGCTTTGTGCGTCCTCCTTTGATCATCTTTTCTGTTGATGGTTTCCGTGCATCATATATGAAGAAAGGGAACAAGGTCATGCCCAATATTGAAAAACTGAGTGAGTACATCTGTTTTCTTACAATAAATGAAAGAACAATCTCTTGTAGCCCAGTTGTTTTCGTTGTTCATTCAGCAACAGAAGTCAGTGTGGGGCTGGTGGGTCGAAGGGCTGCACCAAACAGCAGGGCTCCTCTGGCTGAAAAGTTTAACGAAGTTTAAGTCTTTTTCCATGAAAGTGAAATGGCAGAAGTCCCCTTTGGTTTAGATGGTATCAACTGATGGCTTGAAAGCACCCCGGCTAAAGCAGCACGCAGCAATCGGGGAGTGAGGAGGGAGCTGCTGCTTTTGGGGAGCACTGCTCAGAATTGGTGACCTTCATGCGGTTTTGTCAGGAAAGAAATACATCTTCAGGACACGATATGTATCATGCACTCTTGTAGGCTAGTTGGGAGATGCCCACAAAATTCTCTACTTGATTCAGAAATGTTGAAGATATGGGTAAGTGGGTGCAGGAGCTGCAGTGAATGTGTGGTAACTGGCTGGAGACCGGCCCCAGGAGGGATGAGGAGCCCTGCGCTCCCCTCTGGGAGAGCGGGCACCCACGGGCGTCTGTGGAGTACTGGACGCAATATGTACTCGAGCTTCTCAGTATAGCAGTTTGCGTGTGCCCATACCCTTGAAAGGTGTTCGGGTTTTTTTCCCCCCCCCCTGTGTGTGTGCTGACCCTCGCATTTGTGTAGCCATCTGGGGAGCTGCGGCCAAAGCCCATTGTGAAACTGCAGCTTTAGAATATTTGTCACTTAAAATTAGCCTGCATTTTCTCATGTTGTTTTACTTAGCAAGATACGTCCAATGACTCCAGACTCTGGAAGGAGGCTAGGTCAGAAAGGAAAACAGTCTATGGAAATGCAGCTGGTTCTGTAGTCCTCTGCCTGCATTATTTCGGTTGTTTGTTGTGAAGTGCAAAGAGTGCGTGAGTGGCTTTACTAGACCTGCCAACCTTAAGCAGCAGAATGTTCATTTAAATCAGTTAAAATGTAACCAGTTTCTGCAGCATTTTGAGTCACAACATCTCTGTTTTTGTTTTCCATGTCTGAGAGCTTCACTTCCTAATGTTTGCATTCCCTATTGATTTTTTCAGGATCTTGTGGAACACATTCTCCTTACATGAGACCCGTCTACCCTACAAAAACCTTCCCCAACTTGTACACCCTTGCTACTGTAAGTCCCTGGGAAGGACTTTTTGATGCTAAAATGTTGAATTGCAGTAGAAATGTGGGTTGTGGGAAGGAAGATTTTTTTTTTTTTAAACAAAATGCTTCGCTGTGCATCTGATCAGGCCTTCAGTTATCTTAAGTATTTTCTTCAGTATTTTGAAGTTCTGAGATAAAGTGTATCTCACCATTATACACCATGTTACAGCTTTCCTGAGCTTTCTTCTGCCTGCTTTTGCAGTTACTTGCACTGCTGTGTAATTACAGGTCGCAGTTTTTTCTAGGGGGAAAAAAACCACCCCTGAAATCCCGCCCAGAATACAACCAGCAGTTGTTCCTTCACTGCAGTAGCTGAAGTCAGTGGGGCTGACGTAGCAGCCGATTTACAGTCTAGAGCTGCTGAGTGTGCCTGGGTGCTGCGTGGGCCCTGCAGGGAAGCGAACCATGGCTTCTGCACGCCGGTGGCACAGCGGGGGCCAGGCTGTCCCCACCCTGGGATGCAAACACTCCTGTGTGACAGTGACGGTGCTACCAAAGCTGGGTGAAGGGACGTCCTACCTTCAGCTGCATTTTTTTCCCCTTCCTTTTTTCCCTGCAGCCTCTGCACAAATGTTAAATGGGAAGAGAAAGGAGGGGATGGAGAAATGAATAGCTGGGGATGGGAGAGGGCCAAGAGAAAGGGAAAAATGCAGAAGCCTCTTCTATTGCCTTTACTGCTGGAGAAATTGTGATATAAAGCCATGGCTTTGGGTGACTTGCCTCACTTTTTTCTTGGAAATAACTCTTATCTCACCGAGGCTCTGGTGAAGATAAAGCATAAAATGGAAATGCTAAGTGTTACTCCAGCAACCAGAGAATGAACTACTGTTTCCAAAGAGGGAATTCATGAAGAGAAACTGAAAGTTTCGATCAATCTTCTTTTCATAATTTTTTACTTACTTTAGATGGCCTCAAACTAGTTTTTAACCAGTGTGAAAATACATTAAAGTATCGAGTAATGGGAGTTTTTGTGCTTTTTAGCACAATTCAATCATCTCCTACTGCTTTCATTACTACAGCCCATTTTAAATGCGCTTATCTTAAAGTTACAAACTTTTCTGGTGTGCAGTTACAAAGATAATTATTTTAAAATAATTTAGTGGTATTTGCAGATAGCTGTGAAGAACTGGGTTTGTGTGCATTAGGGTTTTACTAATTAATCTACTTCTGCACAAAGGGACTCTATCCTGAATCACATGGAATCGTTGGCAATTCGATGTATGACCCAGTGTTTGATGCCAGCTTCAGTCTTCGAGGGCGAGAGAAATTCAATCACAGATGGTGGGGAGGTCAACCAGTAAGTTTCAGATTCCCTCCTCCTCCTTCCCCCCTCCCTCTCCTTCCCTGGCTCTGTGCTGTGGAACGTAGCCAGTAATAATAATTAAAAAAATACATCTGTGAACAATTTGTACCTAATCTCCCCCCCCGGCTGGCCCTGTGTCTATCAATTTAATGTAACATTTTGAGTTGGCTTTTGCTTTTCAGAATAATAAAGCCATTGATTATGGAAAGGTGCTTGTGTTGATAAGTATAAATTAGATGTGGCTAGGAAAAAACCCTCACTTTAGGCAGCAGTTTAACACGAATTACTATATTTTCGTCACTGTGGCATAATGTTTCCTTTTCATTATGGGTTTCTCAGGTTTTCGTCCTAGTAATGTCCTTGTGGCAGTTTTAGTATTAATGTTCTGTCAGTGTAGCATGGCACAACTTCATAATTAGTATTTGTTAAGTCCACAAGCGATCGCTGTTACCTGACTTGCTGCAGAGGCTGTAGAAGTTTGTGAATTAATTTCTGCCTTGAGCACAGCAGCAGTGGCTGAACCAGGCCCTCTTTCTTGGACTGATGTTGGATTTGATGGCTTCTCTAGCTCTGAATCCTTATTCTGGGCAAGGAAATGGCCTCCTCCAAAGTATTCTACTTTCCTAAACTAAGACAGTCCCCTTGCTCCTGCTGCGCTTTCCCCTGTTTCTGCATGCTGTGGTGGCTTGCTTTGCCAACGGAAGCGGGTTCCAATTAAACTAATAAGTTTTATGTGCAAGCAGCCAAGGTGCGTGCACATTTCGTTGCACTGATTGCTTAGGGAACTATAGTTTAAAAGCTCTCTGACCAGTTAATCCCACAGAAAAGTAGGGGTGATAGAGGTGGGGAAATTGGAAGGGGTTTAGGAACACCGTAATCTGCCATTGCTGCTTGCTGAAGTGATCGGTGTCATCCCCCCATTTCTTAAAACAGAAATATCTCAGGAGACTAAAGGAGGTTGCTTTTAGGCTTAGCAAGTGTGTGTGTTATTTGTCTGCACGTGGTTTTAGTTTGCAACAAATGCGAGACAAGCTAATTTAGAGCTGCAGGCAGATGTGTGACAGGCAGATGTGTCTGGCTGTAGCTGAGCCAGAATGAGGTATTTGTGCTCTTGTAAAATTTGTCAGCATAACAGCGAGCGTGGACACTCCCTCGCCCAGCGATGACCTGGGTTAGCTTTTAGCATGGGTTGTGTGGAGAGGATAGGGTGAGGAACGTGTCTGGCTGGTATCCCCCTAGATGTGAGCAAAGAAGCAGGATCAGAATGAGGAGGAATGAAAGGACAGCAGCAGGCAGCCTCTTCCTCCATCCCAGCTACAGCCAGAGCCACACAGCTAAGAAACCATGCCTGCTGCGGTCAGGTATTGAGCTCGTAGACAATACTGGGGCTCAGCTGCTGTATGACAACTTAAGCAGCTGTAATTTGATTATGCATTGCAAATTTAATTGGTGATCTGACCTTAATCACAGTTAGGTAGGAGTTAATGGGGAACTAACTTTTGGGGACTGTACAAATGTCTCAGTTTTTAAAGGACGATATTTTCACAGTAAAATATAAGTCTACAAATACTTCATCACCTGCTGTGTTGTGTGGGGAATATTGGTAATTCCCACACCCATCCACCTAGAGACACCTGCTCCAGAGAATAAAAGTCACTCTGGATTGTAAACAAGGGTCATGAACAATGTCAGCTGAGAAGAGTTCAAGAAGTTGCAGAGCAGTTGATGGGCACACACTGGAGGAAATCCTCCGAGGGCAGGGGGGAGTATTGCGTACACAAGCAGGGATGATAAAATAAACCAGCTGATCCGAAGAAGTGTTAAAAAGGAAAAGCGCACAAATAATGTAATAAACTGGAAATGTCTTTTGAGAATTGGAAACAAACATATAGGCGAAGGGCTGTGATTCAGTCCCTACATGCTTAATATGAGGGAAACCTGTAAGTTGGGAAACCTGATAGAGTGGCTATAGTGGTTGGGTAAGGAGGTGGTAGATCTCTTGCAGAAATATGATATAAATTATACTCTCTGCGGGTGGAAGAATTGCACATTTCATAGAATCAGAATCATTAGGTTGGAAAAGACCTTTAAGAAAGGTCTTGATAAGAGAATTGCGGACTTTGATAAGAGAAAAAAACTATTTCCATCTATATACGGTTAGATACAGTCCCTTTCTAACTCCTTTCCATAATTTTCCCTAAATATCACATTGACATAGACCACCAAAACCAGCTGGGTATTGAAAGACAAGGCAGTAGAATTAAGGGGGCAGGAAGGGAAATCTGGTCTGCATATCATAGAAATCGTCTGTCATACCACATCTTCATCTGGTTCTTTTTAGGTCTTGGGTCTCAAACTGGAGTATTCAAACAACTGCAGTGTGGTACTTAGTTTGCACGGAATTGGGAACTAATATTTTTCTGCCCAGGAAGGCAGGAAAATTGTCTGGTACCCCCAGCCTCGTATTATGGCTAAAGCTGCCTAGAAGAGAATGTCCTTTAATGGTGACAATTCCTGAAATACTTTCTTGCTCCTGGAAACTGGCCTATAGTATATGGCTTTGTTGAAATGTGGGGGGGTTGGTGTTTTTTCTTTTCTTTTCTTTTTTTTTTTTTTTAAATTTACTTATTTTAATACTCAGCATCTTGCTAGGAAACAGACAGATTACCATGGGCATCAGTGGAATTTGGCAGATGAGTAGCTGAATGTTTCTACACCAGGAATTATGAGAAATTAATTTTAAGAGCATTAGGAAAAGGAGAAGGGAGGGGGAGAAGGTAGCTTGGAAGTGTTTCAAGGCGCTCTAGCTGGTTATGGGGCTTCATGAAATCCAGTCTTCTGATTTAGTATGCAACCTTGATTTATTATATAAACTTAAAACCACCTTGTTTTCAAAACAAAAGTGTTTGACAAGAAACAGGCACAAAACCACTCCTTGTATTGCTACAGCATCTCAGGGCTCATGCTCCCAGGGGGAAAATACATTTACTGCTCATTTTTCACAACACTGAGACTCTGTTTTCATCCCAAGTAACTTTAAGCACTAAATTAGGCCCCAGCTGCCTTTGGCTTCTGTTAAGCAGTAGTTTTCCATGTCTTGATTTGATGTAGTGATCTTAAGCTTACACTACAGACAATACATTGGGTTTTTTTTAGTGATTTTTTTCATGATCCTTAGAAATGATCCATTGGCCTCCCCAGGGTCAGAAGATGACAGGTATAAACCTGCCTGTCTGTCTGGGGACAGAGAGGCTCCTTCAGAAGGTAACCCAGCTTGGATCTGATGCCTTCGTCTTCAGAAATATCTTAATTACAAAAGTATTGAAGGTTGTTTAGGGCACCTTGTATGAAGCTTTATTTTCACTATTAACCTTTTAAAGAGAATACAACCCTCAAAAAGAGCTCAATTTGAGATCCTGAGATAATCCTTAAGAAGGACCTAGGTATGTCTGGAGACATGAGGCACCATCACTGCATGTCTTAACTGGATGTTCCTGATTTTATCTAATTTTCACATTCTATATCAATCTTTGGGATAAAACCATTTTGCTCTCCTGTTTATGGAATTTTGTTGGTTTTGACTATCTAATGATTACAGAAAGAACTTATTTTCATTTTCTTGCCTAGTCAGCCTGAACATCAGTTACATCTGAGGCACCCAGGCTCTGCAGAAAGCTGTCATCTGTCTTTTTGTCCTGAACGCGTTTTGCAATCACTTTGTTGATTGATGGGGGAAGCAGAAGGAGGCGATGTCTATAATTGTCTTTTATACAAGTATTTCTTTTTGTCTAGCTTGAGCCATGAACAAGCAACAGGGCTCTTTCAGTCTGTCTCATTATTGAATAGGCTTCTTGTACCAAAATCTTCTGTCTGGGCAAGAAGGCAAAGCTTAGTTGTCAAGGCTGTGAGATCACTTCTGTCCTGTTCAAGAGTGAGGACTGTGGAAATGGCTACTCTACATTTGACCTCGTTGGCAGGACAAATTGCAAATGGTGCAGGTGTGTAACATTTGGCACCACCCTGGTATTAATTCTGCGTGTTTGCACCAACCTTGTACAGGTTTCTTTATTTGGAAATTGCTGTGATTTCCCCCTTCCTACCTTTGCCTGGACGTGGATTTCCCATTCATGCATTGCCAACTCTCCACTGCAACGGGTGTATGTGCTTCCTCTGCTCCTGACATGAATCTCCTTCCCTGGTTGGTGAGCGGGAGCATGTTTGTGCAACTTGGCCCAAGGGCTGGACTTCAGAGCCATCCCTTCCATCAGCCATGACCCGAGATGTGTTGCTGCTGGTCCTTTCATCGTGCAACAAATACGGGGCAGGCTTTGCAAAGTTATGGGCTCTTATTTGTTCATGGAAGATTAAAAGCAGGGAGGTGCTCCACCTTCTGTGCAGGTTTTCAAAGACAATTCAACAGCTATCTTGAATAACTCTGTATGTAGTCTCTGTGTGCAAACGTGTTAGCAGTTAGAAGAAGGGAGAACTTGGGACTTTCATGTTCTGTATGGCATTGCCACGTAAACTATTGCTTAGCCTGTCTATTTTTATCCATAAATAAAGGAGAAGAATTGTAGTCATTCAACACAGAGGATATAAAAATGACAATAATTCAACTTAGAGGATATGTTTCATATGCATCTAGAAAAGCATCTATATTATTTCTTGGGAAGTTTGCCAGTGTACTGGGGTGTACTGCCAACAGGGTTGAATCTGTGGGTCCATAATTTAACAGGTCTTTCTGCGTTGGAAAAGTTAGATATTCTCTTGTTCCTGTGGCATGGTATGAAGACAGAGTGGTTAATCTTTGATTTGTTTGTAGTTTGTTTTTTTTTTTTAATATTTATTCCCCCCGTCTCTGCATAAGCAAATTAATTCAGAAGTATGGCCTTTATATAGCTTGAAATACAGTAAGTCTTGTCCCATATGCGAACCAGGGGTGCACATCTGACATAGTTAAAAGGCTGACTATAAAATTCTAACATATTAACAGTTAAACCCAATGTATTTACATATGGCAAATAAATTACAGAAGCTCACAAATGGTACTGACCTTGCAACACCTAACACAGCAAACATTATAAGTGACCTGAACAGATGTGACCAGCCATAGAGTGTATATAAGGTGTTGCATTTACATGCTCAGTAATGGAACATCTAGGATTAATTAACTTTAAGACTGTGACTCTAACTAGCAGAGGGGAAATGGAACAATAACCCTTATTCCTTTCTTAATTTCGGTTGTTTTGAATGGACAAGGTTGAGAGGGTATCAGCTAACTTTTTCTTTCTATCCTACATTGACTGGCAGTGTAGACTCATGTTAGCCTGGGGGAGGCAGGACTTGTAGTGAAACTGGCAGGTTTAAACCAAACAAAAAGAAAAATACACTCATGCAGTGTGTGACTACATTGTGGAACTCACTGCTGCAAACTGATTTATAGCCAGAAAAATATACGGGACTTGAAAGATTGAAAAAAAGGATTTGAAAAATTCATGGCGATTGTTTCCATCGTTTCCATCAATCTTTTCAGGTGAGCTCAAAAAGTTCTTAAACATCTGGAGGAAGGTGTCCTTCCCTGCTTTCTTTATACTCCTGCTCACTCATCTGCACCCTTTTTTGGGTACTCTTAGTGTATTTTCTGTTGATGGCTACTGATTGTAGAATATGGGGAAAGAAGGATGTCTATGCAGACACTAATTACTGTTAAGCCACGTTCTTTCCTAACTAAGTATCCTCCAAAATTTGAACACTAAAAGGCTCAGGAGACTAATGGCTGTTTTTTGAAAATTTAATGGAATACTGGAGAAATTCCTGGCTGCTTCTGAATCTTAATGCTTTACATTAAAAGCAACACAGAGATGTAGGGGTGAAAGTCTACAGCACAGTGGCTGACCCGCTGCTACAGAATTTGCACAGGTTTGTCATTCCGTGTGTTTGAATTGGGGACACAGGCTGAAAACTGCAATTTTCACTTCTAGGCTCAGGCTAGAAGAATGTGTCTTGAGAATAGTTTCTTTTGATTTCAGAGGGTCATTAAATATCTGAACACATTCTAATCCTCTTATATTTTCCTCATTAGATTTGGATTACTGCAGCCAAGCAAGGGGTGAAAGCTGGCACGTTCTTCTGGTCTGTGTAAGTGCCCTCTGTTCTCTGGAGATTTGTAACTAAAAATTCAGAATTAATTTGTGAAATGTTTATTAAGTTGTTTTCCTTACTCTAAGCATTTGGTAGCTTGGAGACTGTACCTGTAACGCTCCCTTGTTTCATTTGTGCCATGTTTCTGATAACTAAAGCTACAGTTCACTGGTTTAAGTTCATACACTGATTTTTAGCAGTTGTCTGAAGAAAAATGTGTGACTGTGTAAAAAAATGACTTTCTTTCATTTCATGGTGTGTTGTTTTGCCTCCTTAGTATTGCTAGCAATGTTTCCTAGTCCTCTGAGTGTTTGTGGAAGACTTTCTTACTGTTCTCTTATGTCATCTGACATCAACAGCCTAACTGGTTCAAAAGCCTGACTCACTCATTTTACAATCCAGTCTGACCTTTGCGTAAGGCATCCAATTTCCCTTTCCTAAAGGACAGCCTTGAGGATCCTTGTTGTTTATTCTTTTGTTTAATGGTTCCAAACTATTTTCCCTTGTTCCACCTAGGATATATCTTCCTCACCGAAAATGAATAAATTTTGATCATTTCTGAGTTCTGAGGAGCTCACGTGGATGAATCTCTCTAATTTCATTTTCGTGGCAGGATTGCAGGAGCAAAGAAAATGGGCAAACCATCAAGACTGAAGTACTAAGGGGGTTTGCCTATTTTTTTGTGAGTCCATTAGGAATAATGCTCTTTGCTACTCTAAATATTATATAGCATATGGAGGGAATAATAAAATGTACCATGTACAAAGGTGATGATAAGTTTAGACTTGCAAGACTGGTGCAAGACTCCAGTATGGTGCTCTACAAAACAAAGGAATTAATGTGATTTCTAAGCCCTAAAATAACATAGTAACCATAAACACCCTGGCCAATGCATGCGTGGGGATATAAAATCTTGTGGAAGGTAACTGAGGATATGTCATATGAATGGCAATAGTCAGGGAGTGAGACAGCCACTTGATGTATGAATGAAATATATATGCCTTAAAACTCTGTTATTTAATTTGGGACACAGAATGCTTTTGGGGAGAATTCAGGCAAGCTTTTAGGAAAACAGAAGTGTAGAATACATCTTAGTCACAAATGATTTAATTGAAATAATGGATTTTTTTCCATATTGCACAATTAATAGAAATTTCAAAACTGGGCAATACCCAAGATTATTATTTCGCTTTATGATATCGCCTTGTTTGCAAATTTTAGCAGAAATTCTCATTTTTATAGTTGTTCTACAAATGAAAGTTCTCTGTGTAACTGGAGACTGAGGACCACTGTTGTCCTACAAGGCATTAAAACCAAACTTATTTAAAAATGGCTGTTGGCATCTCTATTTCTCTGTCAGACATTTCCAAAGAATGGCGAATTCAGTTCAGCATGGTGAATCAAAGACAGTTGTGTTTGATTCCTGCCCTGCGATTCTGCTACTGATTTAATGGAATCTGGACTGACTATGCTATTGTATTAAAATAACTGCGTGGTTGCTGACCTGCAGAGCTTTCCTAGGATGAGACATTTCAAAGTTGAATGGCTGTTCCTAAGGTTAGTCATTCTCATAGCATGAGCTTGGCCTCAGCAGCCAAGTGAGAAGTCTCGTCATACAAGCAGTGAAATAGGATGAGTCTTGAGTGAGAAGCTGTCGTGGTTGTGCAAGTCACCATGCTGATGGCCGGGTGTTTCAGATGGCTCTGTTTTGATTTACACCAGCCTGGCCCTCAGTTTGGTTAATACTAAGTCAGTGGGAACTTTTCCAGTGTCTTCAAGACTACCAGAGCAGGATACTTGTTTAAACCCATGCCGATGTAAGCAATTTAATGGTTTTTATACATGCCAGCTATCCAATGGCAGCATCATTGTGCATAAAAAAGTTTGTTTGGGTTAAAGCTACCAGAATGGATCTTTGTTCACTCCTATTTAGAACTGTTAGATTTATTGCCTTGAGTTCTGACTCCAGTTACAAATTTTTAATCACCTTTCTTTTTGAGTATGTGGACATCCAGGACATCTGAAGTGATTCTGTTTGCAAAATAAGAATCAGTATCAGGCAAGAAAGAAGATACGGCATGCTAAAAGCAAATGATGTTGCTATGCTTGATTTTAATCATATTAGAATCAGTTCATAGCTTTGTTGATTTTTTTTTGTTTGTTTTTTGTTTTCTATGATAACAAGATCTGTTTTTGTATTTTGTGGTCCAGCGTCATCCCCCATGAGCGCAGAATATTAACAATACTGCAGTGGCTAACCCTTCCAGACAACGAAAGGTAATTCACTTACTGTCACCTGCTGTTGGATAACTGCTAGCTGGTCTCCTCCCTAAAAGTAACTGGAAGAGGAAGGGGAAATTCAGTTCTAAAAATTATTTTTGTCTTTTACATGCTATCACTGATTTAAGGATTTGTTGGGGGGTTGTGTTTGGGTTTTTTGTTTGGTTGGGTTTTTTATCTCAGCTTTTAACCATCAGCATTTTAATTCTTCCAATAAATGTATGGTATGAGTTTATTTCTTATCAAGAAGTATTTGGTTACGTGGATTTACTTGGATTGTTCTTATCCTACTGAGTCTAATATAGTTCAGCAACCTTACAGGCACTGGCAGTTGCAGAAGTGGACCCTGAGGACTGGGAAAATGTTAAGATTTTAATTATGAGTATTTTTTAGTACACAAGTTCCCACATGCTGCTGGCTGCAAAGCTCGGGCGAGCTGCTGTTGTGATCTCTCCTGCAGAAAGAGCCTGTGTCCTCACATGGTACCCCATGTGCCTCCCTGCATGCGCTCTTGGATTTAATAAAACTGTAGAACAACTAATTGCTTAATCATACCATGGAAACATGACTGAGAAACAGTTCTTTTTCCATGAAGCCAGCTCTCATTGGAAGGTTGACTTGATTTGACTTGACCTAACAGGCCTGTGTGTTTTGTTGTTGCCGAAGGAAAGCTACCCTGAACAAGACTTTTCTTTCTTTCAGGCCTTATGTTTATGCTTTCTACTCTGAACAACCAGATGCTGCTGGCCACAGATACGGTCCTTTCAACTCAGAGGTTAGTATAGATTTTATCCTGCAGAAAAAGCACGTGGCTCAAATACATTTTTGGAATAATTGCCACTGCTCGGGAGTAATATTTTTAGCAACTTTTTTCACCCATTTCTGCAGAATGCTTCCCTGCTGCCAGAGAAAGCAAAGTTATTTTCTTAAGGATTTATCATGTGAGATTCACTTCTGAGAGAAGGAACTGCCTGTGCCTTTCAGGAGGCTATTTATCTGTGTGATATGATAATGCAAATGGGAAGATTTATTTGGCAAAGACAGGAGTATGTCTGGGTGCAACAGCATAATTTAACTTTCCTCAAACGATTTATCCTTCTTAAAAATAATAAAAATGTAATGCAGAAAATGCTGAGGAAAAATGCAGAGAAGGAAAAGGTTTCTTTAAAGCTGACAGCCTGCAGTAGCCAAAGTAATAATTCCAGTCTGTCATGAACTGTAAAAAGCTGCTATTTCCAGTTTCATATAGGCCCTACAGGGGTTCAGGAAGCTTTGCCAGTACTGTTCCCTCAGGATCGGACTGCTGAGTTTGAAAAAAGTTTTCAAGCACCGTGAAGTATTTTAATGAAAAATTATGTGCAAAACACTACAGTGGTTAACCCCTTGTTTGAGCGTGGGGTAGCTGGCTGGGACTGAGCACTGCTGGCCAGGCGACAAGAATGTAAAGATTATGCACTTGTCTGGGACTTGTGGGGAGGGAAAGTAAATTCTGCATCCAAATATCCTGTTACTTCGGGTGGCTGGGATTTGGCATCTCCGATGATCTCTGACTTCTGGCAAAGGTCCCCTAGTTTCAGTGCAAATGTATGCCTGCAGACTGCCATCGTAAGACTTTAGGAGTTTTTTATACATGCTTTTTAAAGAGTAAACAAATGTTTGCAAATCTTCGAAAACTGAGGAGTGTATCAGATGCCTACCCTTTGAAAGGTAATACAAGTCTCCCCGAGCAGCCAGGTACCCAGCAGTAGTTTCTTACTTGTTTGGTGTACGTCTGGTAGCTGTTCTCTAGTGGAGGAGAGAGCAAAGAGAAGCAGCATTAATCTTTTTTAATATGCTTGAGTTATTTGGGCTGTTTAAAGAAGGTTGCAGCGGTTATGATCTTGTGGGTAGCATCCCCGTTGGAGCACTTTGAGCCATGGTCCCAGGGCAGTGGGTGTGAGGAACTATTCCAAACCAGCACTGAAGCATCACACTGGATAGGAAGAAGTAGTCCTTTTTCTGGGTAAGCGGTGGTTAAAATCTGCCAACACTTCCTAAATTCACAGGCATTGATATGTGTCTATTTGGCTCAGAACAGGAGAGATGTCTGACTCGGTCAAGCAAGTTATCAGTAATGAGAGCTCTCTGATTCAAGGATACATTACTCAATTATGCTTTATAGTTCTTTGTAATGAGGTGTTACAAACACGATGTGTGGCTTATGACTGACAACTCTGATTTTATTTATCTGTAGACAACCAGTTCCTTCTGAACAAAGGTGTGGGGCTCTTTCCATAGACTTAAAGGAGAATATGAAGATAATGACATTGAATTTGTTCTTTAAATTTTAGTCTTTAACAAACCAGTTCAACATCCAATGTAGTAATCTAGTTTCAGGTTAATTACAAGTGTCTAAAAAGTGAAGCGTAATTGTATCATCATAGGAAAAGACATTACAAATGCAAAAGGGCCCAAAGGCTCTTATTGTTTGGGCGTTCTTCTGGATGGTTATCTGAAGGTTGATCTCTAATTGCAAGGCAAAACTTAGGCTCTTAATAAATGTGAATTAATGGCTTATGAAAGTTTTACAAATAAATTGATTTATGTAATTTGTGTTAAACATAAGAAGGGCATGAAATTGATTTTTAGCAAATTGAGAACAGATGAGTTAGCAGATGAGCATGTACGAGTTTTTATTTCTAACAGTGGCCGTAACTGTGAATGGAAATTTAAATAAATGAATACAGCAGTGTAAGTATACAGATGCTGAGATTTGCTGGGGGCCTGGTTTCAGGACAGAAAAGCTAGGAAGTATTTTATATTGTTACTCTTGACACTGTTTTCAATATAATTTTTAGGAGCTATGAAATGTACATAAATCAGCTGGGAAGAAAGTCCTCAAAGGGATCCCTTTCAGCTGCTTCCTTGATACTGAGACCATGACCTTCCCTTGAAATCGTTCTTTTCTTGTATACAGCTGGCAGCAGTTAGGCAGTTGGAGCAGTTCTGACCACTTCATTTTTCTTCATGCAAAGGCAGATCAGCCAAACAATGGTGTTTGAAAACAAGCTCTTAACAATTCTGTGTTATATTTAAGATGAGCTTCTTATTTCTTCTTTTGAGGAGAGATTTTATGCTGTTTTTCTTGCTACATTTTGTAGTTTGAGGAATGCCCCTTGAAAAGCTCCAAACCCTACAAATGTCCATTAAAGTGGGTGTTTACTAGAGCTTCTTATGCCACATTGTGTTCTATTTAAATTATTATTATGCCACACAGTGTTCTGTATTTTAAATTTAATGCCTTTAAGGTCTAATGGCATCCACGACTGATAATTTTCAGCTTCTGGACTTCAGCAGATGGCACGCCAAGCTTCACAGGACATTCACAACAGCCTATGTGCAGAGTGTTTTAAAAGCTAGAAATAAAGGGGCTTAGATGCACTTAAACTTTATTGGTGAATTGCAAGTGTTGTTGTTATAAATGGAATACAGATTGTGGCCAGTGTCCACTAGTGTAACTTTGCATGTCCTCTAACATGAATTTCAGTGTAAATGAGTTGGTTGTCTAGGTTTTGGGGGTTTTTTTGGGTTTGGGTTTTTTTTTTTGTGAGACATGAATAAACTTCTTAGGAAGTATTTTAGTGGGTTCCATTACTTTTCCAGGAGTAGTTATGGGAGTTATCAAGTATGTGCTTGCTCTTGATTTACTTCTGCATATTTTTTTTTCTTTCCCTCTGTGCTTCTGCAGTTGAACTCTGGTAGGTTGGTCCATCCGGGTCAAGAAGCAGAGCTTTGGCTGGCTAGTTACTCTTGTGAAGTTACAGTTCCCTTCTGTATGCGGGGAGGGATTAATTTCCCTGCTCCATAACTCTGTTCTGACTCTTCTCAAGCAAGACTAAGATTTGGCTGGTTAATAAGAACTTACCTTTTTTTTTTCTCCTCCAAGCTATCTTTAAAAAAAAAATATCTAGAAATATGCTACCATAAGAGCTCTAAAACACATCGAAATCTGGCACTGCTAAGCCGTTCCTGCTGCTCCTCTAACATGCTGTCTTGAGACGGCCATTTCCAGTGTTCAGCCCTGGGTCTCCTGCGCTCGCGTGTTCCTTGCGTTGTGGAGCTCTGTCTGAGCCGATTCAGAGACAGTAAAACGAGAATCCTTCCTTTCCCTGCCGCTCCTCTCATCAGGACTGCACAAAGCTTGAAGCATTTTAAAAACAGAAAACTCTGGTGCTGCTTTATTAAAATGCCTTTCTGGAGAGAGACGAATGAGACTGGACTAGAATCTCCTTTCCAGCTGCTTGCCTTGGAAGCAATGAAACAGCATGGCAGATGGTAACATCCCCTTCCTTCCCTTCCCTGTTTACGTAGCTCTGTAACTGAACAACTGTGAGAAGCTGCCTAAGTACACAGAAGTTAAATATCATCATAAATCTCCGACTCTTCTCAAGCCCGCTCAGCGTGCTCCGTTATACGCAGCATATCGTAGTTGCTATCTCCTGGTAGGCATCATCTATCAGCACTTCACATGCAATCCCCAGCAGTGCCAAGAGCCTGCAACTTGGGATAAAGTCAGTGAGAGTGGTACAGTTTAAAATTATGATCAAGTTGATTAATGGGATAGTAATTTTTCCAGTTATGTCTTGATTTTTTTTCCCTTCTGTAAGCCTGCCTCAGGTAATATTTGTGTATTTATGTACAATAACATTACCCAATAAGATGTCATACCGAAAGTGCTAGGAAATTAAATTCTCAAATTGCCCATAAAGCTGGCAATAAGGCAGGCAGCAGCGCAGCTTTCTGAGGCGCTGCCACCAATAAATGTGCCCTGCCTGGCTGATTTGAAGGAGTCAAGCTCTATGCTAACCGAGCCTCACCTTTGTAGCTCTGTCCTGCAGACCTGCAATCCCCAAACAGTGGCTAGTGGGGTTCTGGTGATTTCAGTGGGGTGCATGGCCTGGCTCACAGTGGTGGCACCTGCTGGTGATACTGATGAGGGTACCTAGTGTCACCGATTCAGCCAAAAAGTGGGTGTGGGAAACATTGCAGAAAGCCATTTGGACTGGACAGGCTCTAGTACTCATACTTGAACCATCATCAAAGTGAGGTGTTGCATTTCCACCAGCACTCTACCCTAGACACTCATTAAATTGCATGCAATGAAATTTATATATATTTAAATTCTTTACTTAATTTTTGATAATATTAATGGATCATTATTTGATCAATAAAAAAAGCCACGTAACTAAATATTTCCAAAACCAGAAGCCCCACCTATCTTCTGAAACACCAATTTCATTTGCTTTTATGCTGTCTGCTCTCGTAACTGCTGTTTTGCTTTCAGTACAATTTGGTGGATTCCTCCTTAAAGAGAGACAGATCCTAAATTGTCCAAATGCCTAAATTTTTGAAAGGGCCACAGTATTTATGCTTAGGAATTAGCCTGCACAGGTAGCTTTACTATCTGATGTGAGTCGAGACAGGCTTTTTTTCTGAGTCCAGACATCTCTCCCCGCCAGTACAGGAGAGTAGTTATGGCTCCCCTCTTACTCCGCCCAAGAGACCTAAGAGAAAGCTTCCTCCTAAGAGGAGACAGGAAAGACCAGTTGCAGCTCCAAAGACAAGAAGAAGAAAAGTACATAAAGTGGATCAGTATGCTGCGGAAGCTCGTCGGAAGAAAGTAAGTTTACATATGTTCCAAAATTTTATGATGGAAGTGCCACTTTTTAGGCACTACTCTAGCTTTATTTTTTTCAACTTGGGAGTTCGCTCCATGCTTCAGGTTGGGATTTTGCAGACAAAACTTCTATAAATGTACTGAAGGACCCAAAGGAAAGCAGCCAAACCAGACCAAGTCTTCTGGGAGCTATGTTTCTTCTTGTTTCAGACTCTGTTTGCGTTAAGGAAAGTCATCTTTATAATCTCTTTATATTTTTAAATCCAGCCATCAGCTGGAGGTGATGTCAGATAAATCCCTGGGAAGGCAGTAACGGTGTTGCTAACCCTTCTGAGCTATTACAAATTCTGCAGTGTGTTGTAACCTCCTTAATTCCCCAGCTCTTGGGAGCCTGGTGATTATCTGAGATTCTGTGTCCAGTCATTGTGGTTGTGGAAATGTCCTGAAAATGTGACTCATAAAATCTAAAAGGGAAAGAACTTTAAAAAGCTGTTGTAAAAAAAATAATATATTTTAAAGCCAGTTTGTGACTTTGGAGGGTTGAGAATTCTTGATTACATGATTTCTGAATGCTGCATTTGCAATCGGAGTGCTGAAGTCTGTTTTCACAAGGAAACCGTCAAATAGAAATAGGTTTACTAGGAAAAGGTGCAAGTGGAGGAAAAGGCTATGCGTTAGTGTCCTGTCTTTCTCCACCTGGCACTACCATACACACTGGGAGGGGTTATAGACTACTTCAGTATTATTTTTGTTTCAGAAATTTAACTAAATAGTTCAAAACCTCTTCAAATAAACAATCCAAATATTTCTCCTTAAGCTTTAAACAAAAGCCTCGACACTCCACTGTGTCCTACAAGATGCTATAAATACTTATCTCAATAGCTTTTTGGTGGGGGTGTTTTTTGAGTTGTTGCGTGATTCAACTTAAAACCATTATTTTGAGACCAATTCTTTAAATGTAAAGACATGGCAGGCAGGCATGCAAAAAAGTTATCAGGTATAAGAAAACAGGAATTTTCCAGAGAACTTTTAGCACAGATTTACCTGAGAGGAGAACTGATAACTGCTATGGATTATATTGCTATTACTCATTAATTTGCCATTCCAAGTTCTACCCTTCTGGCATGAACTGTACTAGCTAGCTTATAACATTCCTACTGATGTAAGCATATGTGAGACTTCTTTTTTTATTTTTTCCCCTTTCTTGTTTCTGGATGAAAAGGTCATCCAAACTTATCCCTAAGGAACTCTTCCTGATAAGTCAAGTGTTAAAATTTATCACTACAATTTCACAAAAAAGCATCCTAATATTACACAATAGTTCCCATCATATTTGCAAGTTAATCTTTTCGTGCTGTTTGAGAGCAATGGAATATAGTGAAAGCGGATAAAGTGGAATTCTTTCTTCCTTCTTACCAAGCTTCTTCTAGGGAAAACTCGGGAGAGAATCCAACTGTGGTCTGTATGCCTCAGATCCCATACCCATTGCTTTCACGATAGTACCGACTCTTTATTGTAGCACCATTTTAGAGATTCATATATCTTGAAAGATAAAATGTTTCTGTACAGCCTTCCAAACTCTTGATATCCTCAACGTGTTAGGTGAAGAAAGGTATATGCCAAAGTTTCATTTGAGTAGCGATAAGTTAAGTTGCATCTGGGAAAGAATATGAGCTGTAAGAGCAGCATGTCCACACAAAAAATCCTTGTCTGAATATACCACCCACAGCCAGCCTTAGACTGCAAAGACCATTTGAGAAAAAACTTGAGCGTTGTATAGAATAATAAGGGATCTGAATTTAAAAAAGGAAGAGAGAGAGAATGCAATGAGATGAAGCAATATTTGGTGAGGGCCTTTCTAAGAGCTGCTTTGAACACAAGTCAAGCGGTGAAAACTGCAAAGTTGAAGGGGGGGTTTTGTGTGAGTAGTTTGTTTTTTTAAAAAAACAGGATTTTACATTTGTATTGACTTTCTTATAGGTTCAGAAATGTCTCTGGAGGCTTACAGATTAAATTGGTGAGGGGGGTAGCTAAAGAGAATTACCATCACTTGCAAATCCTTGAAATCTCTGGAAGTATTGTTGCTTTTTTTTTTTTTTTTCTTAAGGAGCCTCAAGCCTGCTGACAAAAGTAAACATTAATGGGAAATCCATCTGGATTTCCAGCTTCCTTGAATAAGCTTTGGATTCTGAGTAAAAGATGTATTTCCTTGTATGATTGATGTTATACAAATAGAGTTCCATAAAAATGGATTTCCCATTCATTGAAGAAATTCTTTGTATTAAAGAGTGGAAGAAGGCTTAAACAGACAATTTTCTTTTTTTCTAAACTCAAAATGTTTCAGAGTTTTAATTAAACTGACTGCTTTGGCTTTTGTGAATTAAATATTTCAAAATTTCATCCTTTCTCTGAACCACTTCCATATGTCGCAGAAACTGTTCCTCCTGTTCCCCACCATGATTCCATCTCTCAGAAGCCGCTTCTCCATGTGTTTATAGTGCCACATGGGAGATGACATTTCCTGTCTCATCTTATAACTTATCAGACTCGCTTAACATCCATCCCTTAATGACTCAGGCAGAGGGAGAATTTCTGAACCGTCTCTTTCTGGGTCACACTAACGTGGTGTTTATTTTTTCTTCTCAGAAAATTCTGCCAAACTCTAGGTTTTTTCTCATCCAAAATTTGTTAGCATTCTGTTGCTCACTGGATGTTTTGTTGTGGATGCTTGGACCAGCCAAATCAAACAGACAAGCAAAGAGGAAGTTGGCATACAGTGACAAGAAATGTTTTCTTCTCAAAACCAAAACAAAATCTCAGTCCTCTGCCTAAGATCTTACTTTAAAACATTTCCCTCCTCTATGCCATCTGGTAAAAAAGGTTTCATTTTCTTATAGCTGAAAACACAATCCTGTGAACATGTCTTGGTGTTTTCTGTTGTGTTTCTTAATGAAAAGGAAACTTAAATGAAGAAATCACAGTACCATATCCATGTCTTCTGGGGCCTGCTGACAATTTTGCCAAAAATGTCATTTGAGATGCTGGAAACTCTTGGCTTTGAAGCTGAAGAACACTCCTCCCAAGACCCATGTGCTACTCAAGTGACTTGCGTGTTGTCATCGTAATATCAGATGTCCTTTGAAGTGAATTTCATTAAGTGACTTGGCATATGAATTCCAAGTCCACAGCTTCATTTCATGTTCAAGTTTTGACTAAGTCTTTCACATAAAATAGCCTTTTAAAAGTACTACAATTTATCTATAAGAAACAAACTGAACCCCAAACTCATGTGTGTTCTTCTAATATCTGTACTTCATTTTACCAAATGTACACGTGCCCATGGGAGGCCTAGGATCAGCCATAAAGATCTTTTGCTGTCTTGTGTCAGCATCTCAGCAAGGCTTTCTCGTGTTGAGATCACAGGGTTGATAGAAGAAAGGAAATGGTACGATAATTGTAGGTGTAACATCTCAGCCAAGGCTTTGCCTCTTGACCTGGATGGTTATTCTATCGGAGTTTTGCCAAAGGACCTGTGTAGAGCAAGGGGGATCATTGCAATGACAGCATTAACTTTTTTCCTTTCTTCATATTTATACAGATGATGGTGAATCCCCTGAGAGAGATTGACAAGACAGTAGGACAACTAATGGATGGACTGAAACAGTTGAAACTACATCGATGTGTCAATGTCATCTTTGTTGGTGATCATGGTAAAATAAACAATATTCCTCATCAGTATATAAACGCTTGAGCAATGTAGCTGTACATAAAATAGGTGGCTTAAATGAAAGATCCATTTAAGGTAATTTTGTGCCAATTTTTTCTTGTAGCTTAAATCCCCCAAACCAGCCAGTTGGTGTAGACTAGCCACTCAGCTTGTCTGTTAATTAGAATTGTGTAGGTTGGAAAAGACGTTTGAGAACATCAAGTTCAACTGTTAATTTTCATTGAAGGACATTTCTCTTTCACAACAATGATCTCCACTTAAAGTTTTTCAAAGCTTGGCATTTTTGATATCACATCCAAGTGCATCTCCCCTTGCATGTATGGGAAGGCCATAATGTACCTAGAGTAATCTTTTGGGCAGTTTTTATGGAAGGAAACAATTTAGAAGCACTGTTCTGCTTCTCATGAGGAGCGGTGTACAACTTGAGAGCGAGACATTTCCATGGCAATTAGTGGGTCAAGTTATCCTGCTAGGAGACAGAGTGGGGTATCTGTAAGGGACTGTATCCAGCTTGGATGGAAAATGTCATCAAAATAATGGAGGAAGGAGGCAAATGGTGAAAAGATATTTCAGGGTCAGATGGAGAGTCACCCAAAAGCAGATATACCATTTGGTGGGTCTCATTCTTTCAGACATCAGAAGAAACTTTACAATAGAAGAAATAGTAATTACTAGCAAAGACAAAAAGAGAAAGGAAGTTTTACTAAAGAAAAATGTGACCATGTTTGAGAGAAACCTGATTTTGCATAACTTTTTTGTGATGCTACTAAAGGTCCTGTTCTGTTTACATCTTTGTTTATGAAAGTCTCACAAGAACTGCTACATGAGCAACAAAATGGAATATGCCTTCTTTCTGGCTGTGGGCAGAGAGGGTAAGGGGCAGGAAGGATTTCCAGGGGAGGCAGTTTTGTGCTGAGAACCGCCTGTGACTGGCAATACATTCCTCCCCGCCACAAATGGCTGTAGGAGAGAATTGTTTATCTGCAGCTGCCTTAGAACAGACCACCAACAGACAATACCTTTTGTGTGCAACTTCTCTTAAAATCCTTTGTTTAAAAAAAAAATAATAAAATCCCAAAGTAGTACACTAAACTAGAAACAGACTTTGATTTTTCCATGAGCTTAGTTTGGAGATGTGTCAGTGCACACATGGTATATGTGGTGACTTTTTCTATGACGTTGAGACTGGCATTTCTCTTGTAGGCAAGTGCTAAAATCACCCCTAGTTTGGCTCCTACCAGTGTCTTATGTTGGCATTAGAGGACCAGAAAGAACAAGAATAAGATTAGTCATCCAAAATAAAAGAATATATAAGCTGTTTGGGGTCTCTTTCTGTGCTGTTTTGGAAAACATGTTTATTTTCAAGCTGTATTAATTTTGTGTTTTCTTTCTGCAGGGATGGAAGACACAACTTGTGAAAGAACTGAATTTTTAAGCAACTATCTGACTAATGTAGAAGATATAATTTTGCTGCCTGGATCTTTAGGGCGAATTCGCCCTAGGTCTAGCAATAACCTAAAATGTAAGTTAATTTAATTGTACCCCTTATGTCCTGCGAACTAGACTCCATCCCTTCCTTGGGCTGACATTGTACGAAGGATGTAAGTTTGCAGGGTGTCAGCAGGACATTCAAAGGGAAGCCCAGTAAAGACCAGCTGCTTTCCCCCTTCCCAGTCTGTATCTCACAGATCCCACAGTGGCAGAGCTGTGTCAAGTGGATGGCTGAAATGTTCTGGGTTGAAAGCCACCTTTTCATGGCAAGGAGAAGTGAGAACTCTTGAAGCGAGTTTCGCATGGCCGCATACATGTCATGAACTTATTCACACACTTCTCCCTTCTGCCAATAAAAATGAGACTTGAGGGAGCTTGGCACTGCATGGATGTAAAAAAAAAAAGTGTCTGGTACCTCTGCTGACCCAATGGGAAAAAAATAGTGAATTGTTAATTTTTAATTCAGTAGCTGCTTCATACTTTTGGCACAGATGAGAAGCAGCATGGGTTGCTAAATAGCAGCACACTGGAGATACTCTAGGATATAAGGGAGCTGTAGAGCATGGATTCAGGGCCAATGGTGACAGTAAAACTTGCTATTTTTGTACCATGCTGTTAGAAACTCACCCTGACTTGGTGTTTGAGATCAGCTGATCTTCGACGACAGCACTTGGGGCTCAGGCAGGAGTCCTCCGGTGAAGCTCACTCTATAATTTAAAGTGTTACAGACCCAGGTGCCCCCACTCTTCCGCTGAGGACTTCCACCTCCAGGGCAGCAGTGCCAGGACAGGGCTTGGGCCAGCACCGTTGCTGCTCTGGTTCAGCGTACCAGGGAAAACCTGGCTTTGCCAGCAGTTTAAGCTACTGTGCAAACTGTGAAACTCATAAACTAACCACAAGTACCTATGTTTTTGCAATGTATGCTACGAGGGTGATAACTTCTGGTAGAGGGGAAGATCGCATAGCTGGGACAGCCCTCATAACACTTCAGATATATTTGGTTGAGGACAGATTTCACAAAAAATTGATCTTTGAAGACTAAAGATTTCCAGACTAGTAGCAGAAATCATAAGAATGTGGTAAAATTTTCTTACTGATTTATGTATGTATTTATTTTACTATATACTAATTTATCTGGGTATTTATGCTCTAGGAGTATGGGATGAATGTGTAAAGATCTGTTGAAAAATAATGTATATTTTGATACAACTTACTCAACTAGCATAAAGACTGAACTCCTGCACTTCACACTCTACTGAAAACTTATGTCTCAGTTCTGAGACGATTTCTTTTAAACATCTTTCAATCTTTCAATTCCCAAATTGCTGAGAAAAAATCAGTTTTCTTTGGAGGATGAATGGCAGTATCTTCCAAAAAGATCAGCTACTCTGACTGACCTCTGAGTCATACTACTGGTGTTCCTGCAATACTATTTTCCTCTTTTGGCCTCTGTCCCCAGCTTCCTCGTTTGCGATTGCTTGTAAATCAGCAGTTTGAACACAGAACAAAGCAGCGTATTCCTTAGTTTTAGAACTGGGGCTTGCCCCCTTAAATGGCAAATTACCAGCTTTTTTATTCTTCCTCCATTTTCCTATTGATAACACTGCCTTAAGGCCTGCAGACACACCTTTGCCATGGGTAAGCCTGTAGCTTGTGTTTTGAGATTCAGTAGAGCTCATTTCAAGCTCAGCAAGATCGTGCCTTAAGCTACCAGAACAATAATAGCTAAGCAAGAGATTTTAACTTCCTAAGATTTTCTCTTAGCCTGTTTTTTTCTCTCAGGGCTGAAAATGCTTTCCCTCCCACCACCCACTCTGGAAGAAGACAGTTAGTGTGGACTGTTGCTCGTTTTGGGCTTTTTACATCTTGCATGTCCCTTTAATAGTCCAAAGACAAATCTAGAATATTTTACTGTGGCTATTCACTTATTCTAGTAGCCTATGAAATATGCAAAATGTTAAAAGAGACAAAAAATGCTACATATTTATCTTACTGCTTCTAAGGAAGTTCATTGTTACATTCAAATGTGCTTTCAAAAATTTTCAAGGAAAGTCTTTGTGTTTGGGGATGCTTTTCATTTTAAAGGAAAGCAGTCAAAAGATTTGCAATTATATGCTTTCAGAAAATAGAATCAATATTAAGCTAAGACCCAAATTGTAAACCAGTGAACATTACCTAAGCAACTAAAATATCACTAAGTAAAGGGTGTACAGTTAAACTTTAGTTCATATTCAGGATATCTTATCTGATACATATACAGTCAATTTAGTAAAGATGAGCCAACTTTTAGGAAGAACGTTTCTGTAAAACTACTTTGTTACCTTGTGTTTTCTTCTGCAAATTGTTAATATTTTATATTTTTGTCTTTTTTTTTTTTTCCCCTTTGCTTAACAGATGACCCAAAAGTGATTGTTGCCAACCTTACAGTAAGTATTTAGGACTGGGAGGTATCTCTGTCTATACTGCACTGCTCACTTCACATCTTAATTTGGGGTATTATTCAGCATTGTCTCCTGGTTTAGGCAGGAAAACCTACCATTAACATGAATAAAGAGTGTTAAAAGGTGCCCTTCATGAGGACAGATTAGTGTTTGTCATAAAGTCCACCATTTGCTGCTGTAGTGGCTTTTATAACCTTTTTGGGCAGTGCAGAGCCAGAATCTCTCTGACCATCTTGAGTCCCTGAATTGAGTCTATTTATTCATTCCTTCAGAAATGGAAAGTAATCTTTTAGGGTAAATATTGTACTAGCACCTTGAAGACGCTGAAAAAGTTCATTTGATAGCCTTCAACTCTCACCTTGTTTTTAATGGAAAAAAAGTGTTTAAAATAAAAGCTGATTAAAAAAAAAAATCAAATTCTGTAACCAGATGGCTTTAAATATATCTGCAGACAAGATGTATTTTAAGCATTCAGCTTTCCTCTGAAACTTAAGCTTTGGTCCATTTAGAATGAAATTCTTCATCTGTGAGCTAAGTAAGCATGATGTTTTGCATGTTGCTTTCAAAAAGACTGTCATGAGAATGAAGCTTTCCAAATACATCTTTGAATGACTCCCTGGGCTCCGGTCTTACGTAAATACTGCACAGAAAGGGCTGGACCACGTACTCTAGATGTACACTTTGTTTTAAAGACATCATCAATAATGACCTTAACAGCTTGATTTCTGTAGTTCAAGATTTTATGCGCGTCTAAGCTAACTGACAGCAGTGTCGTTTGTAACCATTTATTTTTCAGTGTAGAAAGCCAGACCAGCACTTCAAGCCTTACTTGAAACAGCACCTGCCTAAACGCTTGCACTACGCTAACAACCGAAGAATTGAGGATGTCCATTTACTGGTGGATCGCAAATGGCACGTGGCAAGGTAAACTCTTGCTATGGCTTCCATCCTGACTTTCAGTCTTTTTTTCTGAGGAAACGAGACTCCTGGGATTGCCCTGCCTGTCAGCATCCCGCTCCTGTACCCCATGAGCAAGAGGAGTTTTGAACTCCTGGTGAGGTTCAATCACATTTGGTGCAGGGAGATATGGCTCACAACATAAAATTGGTTTAAAATTTGGGAAAAAACAGTAGGTGGATAGAGGGTAGAAATCCACATTGGTTTTCTTAAGCAGCTGTGTGGGGTTTGACTGATTAGCTTAAGTATAGGAGCTGATAAGCTTTTTTGATGAGGTGAGAGCTTATTTCAACCAGGAAGCTGGGAATATGGGAGGAAGGGGAAGGCGTACGTGACCACGGGATGTTAGGGAACAAGAGGCTGAGTGGATGCAATGGGTGAATGGAAAGAAAATGGAGATATTGGCAGAGTGGGTGAACGCCTGAGAATGTGGGGAAGGGTATGAGAGGGTGGCCATCAAAGTACCAGCAGCAAAACAAATTTTGTTGCAAAACAAATCCACAGAAACCCAGGATGCTTTAGCTCACACAAAACCCTGGTTTGGGTTGTTCTTCCCCATATGCCTCTGAATGACAATTTTTAATATTCTTACCTAAAAATTGCATGAGGAAAAACAAATTGGCACATGTATGTACAGAGTGAACAGGAGAGGAGTAGCCTTTGTTTATGAATTGTGCACCCCTTTCTGGTTTAATACATATTCTTTTTCTTGCTTTGATCTTTTGACACATGTTGTGTATTACAGTATGAGAATGGCTGGGTCTTTATGCATAAAGCTGACTCAGTGGTTCTTGGAAGATGACACAGCTTTTGGCCCATGGTAGTCTCTTACGAGCTTTAAATTACGGTAGGGTTTTTTGCCCGTTTAGCTGCCAGGCAAACACAGGGTGTGTTGTAAGCGCCTTTTGACATCTGTGCTTATCTTTCTGTGAATTATGCAAGGATCACTCTGCTGAAACAGTGAATGAGAAACCCCTATTGCTTTCTTGCATAACTCCACTAGCTGGCTGGCTGGTTGCCCTGTTCAGTTTTGTGGCTAGAGTTCATGTACGTTTCAAAGAATCACACTCTGAGTTTTAGGCCCATAAAAGTTTTAGTTTTAAGAATTTTACTGGAACTGATGGGATGACCAAGTGGATTTACATTTAGAAATTTCTTATTAATTACATCAAACTGGCTTATTTATTCACTAGATTTTCTGAAATCCCATTTACCAATAATTCATTTGTTAGTGTAACTGTAATTCATTGTATATTCACAGGAAAATTGTAGTTACAGACCTGATTGCGGTAACTGTAGTAATCTACCAGGCCACATCAAACTTTGGCTGAGCATCATTTTATTGCAGATGGAGAAATCAACTTGTAGGATAATCTGGTCCACTGCATGTATTGCCTGCACATGGCCCTCATAAAACTGTAAAAAAAGTACTTGGAAACAAGCTGCTAATTGTAATTCCTATGACACAATACTTATTTTCCCACGTATTTTGTAGAAAAATACTTGGTAGTAAGCTGATAAGTAGGGTTCCTATGATACAGCAATTATTTTCTCAGCTATTTATCTTCATGACAATCTTTCTCTTTTCCCTCCAGCTTTGTTTCTGCTCCCCATTTTTGTTTATTGGATGGGAGGCAAATAGGTGAAAGCACTTTACAGCATTATATGACATTTGCAGCATTGTAACATCACAAAAGTGCTTTCTTAGAAGTCTCTATTGGCCTTTTGAGGATTGGAAGAGTATGGTACAAAATACCTCCGCTCCATAGGAGATGATGTGATATGAGAAAGTCTGAGAAAATAAGTAAATAGTTGACAAGTTTGTTGTCAGTGAGTAAGAGTTAGCTCTTAGGATTGCACCCATTTGTAGTGGGAGGAAAGGGAGAAACCAGGGGGTTGTTGATGAGCCTGCAGCCCCCACTGCTGCTACTCAAGAAAGATGAGCAATGTTCTGCCTTGTCACTTTATCCCTACTACCCACCAAGTATGGTGTCAGGTCAGCCACCATACCTACACCTTTGAGGAAATTTTCTAATAATTTTTCAATTTAGGAAAGCTGTGGACGTTTACAAGAAACCAACAGGAAAATGTTTCTTCCATGGAGACCATGGCTATGACAACAAGATAAACAGCATGCAGGTATGAGCAATGCAGTAACCTTTGCGGGAGGGTCATTGAAGGCAGAAGAAATTGGAGGTCTCTAAAATGTAAATATGCACTGCAAAAACCCCCCACCTTTTAATGCTCTTCTTTTGTATGCTTCTCTTTCCTCCCCTCCCCCCCCCCCCCCCCCCCCCCACCAGACTGTCTTTATAGGTTATGGCCCTACATTCAAATACAAGACCAAAGTGCCTCCTTTTGAAAATATTGAACTTTACAACGTCATGTGTGGTAAGCTACCTGCTTGAGAAATTGCAAGAGAAATATGCTGGTTTAGTTAACAGGGCTTTGCTTAGGCTCCTGTGAGCTCATGCCCTGACTCCCTCCCAGGGCCCCCTCCCCAGTCCTCCCTTCCCAAGCACTTGCCTGTTGGCCAGGAGGGCTCAAGGCACTTCTCAGGGACTTCAGTTTGCTCTACTCTAGCAACTGGCCAATAAGGGGGGTTACCATAGTTTTGCTGCATGCAGCTTGGCAGAGATTGAATACATACCACTACAGTGTGTGGTGTCCACACCTCAGGAGTCTAGGAAGGGTGTTTCTGTTCAGAGACTGCTTCTGCACCTCCATGTCTCATGGAGAAGATCAGGGGCATCACTTAGTTTTCTATGGCATCTCCTGGTATGACTATGTTTCCTACGCTCCTATTGTAGCCATGAAGCAGAGTCTGACAAAACATACAAATCATATTCATTATGAGCTTCTCTTTAATGCTGATTTTCCAGGGTAAAAAACTTTCTAGCTGAAGTTGTAATTCACTTATTTAATTTCTTTTTTCAAACATGAAATACCAAAAAGGTAATTATCCCTTATCTCTAAATCAGGCGACTAATAACGCTGTGTTCCAGGTGGTTGGTGTAAGGTCAACATATTGACTGTAAATTTGCGCTGGAAGCTGCAGGAGTAGTTATAATAAAACTGTTTTCCAGTGTCTTGATGAAAATTAACTTTCTTGTCATAAAGGCCACCATGCTATTCAGGCAGCATTTGCAATTCTATGATTTGGACAAAAGGTTAGTATTTTTATTATATTAAAAGCATTCATTAACATGTCATGGGTGTAAACAGGATTGCAAATAAACGTCTTAGCTCAGTAGAGATGCTGCTGCATACACATTTGCAATCTAACCATCATTCATTTATCTTTGATGTTTTCATAGATCTGCTTGGATTAAAGCCTGCTCCCAATAATGGCACCCATGGAAGTTTAAATCACTTGCTGAGAGCCAATGTTTATAAACCAACTGTGCCAGATGAAGTTGCTAAACCACTCTACCCTGTCGCTCTACCTTCTGCACCAGACTTTGATATAGGATGTACATGTGATGATAAGGTAGGTGTTCATGTTATGTTTAGGAGCTGCTGATGCTTCCCCTAGAAGTGGTAGTTGCCTAGTAAAGTTGTAGCCATTTTATCTATTTTGAGAGGGTTTGATCCGTAAGAATTTCCCAGATACTCCTCTGAAGTGTTTGTGCCGGTTTAGAACAATTATGGCTTTTTGTAAAATGGGAAACAAAATAATGTTTTAGTGTTTTATAACACTAGTTTTGTTTTGCTAGATGCCTAGCAAAATGAGATGTCAGAATGCTCCAGTGATCCTAACCTTGTTCCTTTTTTCTATTCTTGAGAAGAACAAGTTGGATGAACTCAACAAGCGCTTTCATGTCAAGGGAACAGAAGGTAAGACCTGATGTCTGTTAACAAAAGCTATTTTGGGGGGTTTTTTGCAAGTTAGTTTGCATCATTGATACTAGACAGACTCCTGCTTGGGTTTAGTTAATGTGTAATAAGCCATCTTTTCAAGTAACTGCCAAAATAGCACATAGGCATACATGAAATACGTGGGCAAGTGTTGCTCATGTGAGGAAGGGCACACTAGCTTTTGCTGTAACCAGGACTAAAGTAGCACTCAGAGTGATAGGAGTTTTAGCTCTTCCTTTCCATCGCTGTTAGGAGGTTTAATCTCTGCTGTGGAAGCAGAGAGATAAGGAAAGGAGAAGGAGCAGTGCTCCTCTCAATCACAAGCAATAAATGAGGTAAAAAATGTAGACCGCGTCTGCACGCTGTGTTTTACCAGTATTGTTCGGGGTTAGGTTTCACCGGGTCAGTGTTAGAAAGGCTTCTTCAATTTTTCTGTTGTGAACAGGCAATGCGGCCTATCCTTTAGTTTCTGGAGGTGAAATCGTTGCTTTTCTTTGTGAGTTAAGTTGCCTTTCTGTAGCTTCCATCTTCTTAAACTGATTTTTCCAATTAGTGAAGAGCTACTACCTGCTGTGACGATTTCTGGCATCAGGAAAACACACCCTCACAATTGTACTCTATATATCTCAGTGTATTTATTTTGGTCTAAGGCTTGATGCATCTTCACTTCTTCACTTCAGTAATATAAAAATAGCATTTTTGATGTATCTTAAGACATAAGCACTTAAACCAATTTCACTTGCTGGTTTGTAAGTTGTCTGTTAAGTGGAATGAAGCACCCCTTATTTAAACAACAAGAAGTTCTGCTACATGCAAGTTATTTTGTTGTATTTTATGACAGGCTGTAGCACCTGTTCAGGGACCTTCCTGCATTTCGTTGGTAATTCCCTCCTCTTTCATGGGGCACCATGCGTATTTAGCTCATGTTATTCAAATGCAGAAGAAAACGATTCCTTCAGCTTCTCTTGAATAAAGCAAGTTTATAATCTTTGTCCTTAGGGAAGGTTTTTCCTACTTTTCTCTCTCGTGCCCTATAAAAATGTGCTCTATTTGGACATAAACACTAATAAAGCATGCCCTTTTCTATCAGGTTAAATGCTTATCTGTGAACAGTGTTGGGCCACTTTCCTTGTTTCTGTGTTTCGATTTCCAAAAGTAAGCTAAGCCTGTTTGCCAAATGATTATCAAAATCAATGAACTGTGCAGCACAACGCAAGATTAGACAGGAAATGTATTTTTCATCTATGTCTTTCAGTGATGTGTTTGTCTTTTTATAAGCAAGCTTATCGGAGGTACCTAGTGATGTTTAACCATAACACCACCAGGACTGAAAAAAACCAAGTTTTGCAGAGTTGGAGGTGGTTTTTTGTAGCCAAATTTAGGAAAAAGGGTTTGATGTTTGTTTGTTTGTTTTCTTTGATATTACTGCCAGCAAATAATAGCACATCGGTCTTCAGAACATCATCTGTATCAGCCAAGCGGAAAAAAATACTCTGAGTGAGTGAGCACCTTTGCCTCCCTTTTGCAAGGGACTCTACAAAAAACATAGGAAGGAGAGAAAGGCTGAAGACGACTGTCAGGAGTGATAGGATAGGGGTAGATTTAAAGTACAAAAAAGTGCTTTTCACCTCATGTGTGACTGAAAAGTGGACACAAAGATCCTTCTGGAGTCTCTTCAGAAATACGGAAGAACTGCTGCTCTCTCTGTTACAAGATTTCCTTAGCAGTTATTCAGTGTTGGTATCCCATTAAGGGTCACTGTAAAATCAGCATGTGTTGGAAACCCAAGCCCTTTTTTTTCATCCTTAAGGCTTTCAGTAATAAATATAAATGTAATTCCTTCTGATCTGTAGATAAGCATCTCCTATATGGGCGCCCGGCAGTACTGTACCGCACAAAATACAATATCTTGCATCACCATGACTTTGAAAGTGGCTACAGCGAAACATTCCTGATGCCTCTCTGGACATCCTACACTATTTCCAAACAGGTCAGTGCTGTCTTTGCTCTTGGAAAGTGCTTAAAAAATCCTGGGGAAATCTGCTCAGTACCTTTATTCTTGAAGTGCTAAAATTCCTCTTTTCCCAAGTAGACTTTTGCACCAAAAATTGTGTCAAATACCATTGAAAACAATGCCATAACCCATTTTTTCTTTCAGGAGAAAAGAGTTTTAAGGCAGAAGGGCTCTATGTTTGTCTTTCTGTTCTCATTTTCTTTCTAAGTTTTGCTCGATGGGGATTTGTTTTATTACCATAGCATAAGCAGCAACTTCATTTGAACTATTTCCCATCATGATTTCTGCTACCTGAAGGACGGGCTCTGCGGCAGGTACAGGAGCAGGACTTGGTTCTACAGCTGGGTGGTTTATTCTACTCCCCACGAGGCCTTCCATCTAATCTGTTGACCATATGAAATTGTCTTTTGGCTATAAATGCTGGAATTACCTTTCTTGTCATTTCTGTGTATGTTCCTCCAAGCAGGCAGAGGTATCCGGTGTCCCAGAGCACCTGGCCAGCTGTGTGAGGCCCGACCTCCGCATTTCTCCAGGAAACAGCCAGAGCTGCGCAGCCTACAGAGGCGACAAACAGCTCTCCTACGGCTTCCTTTTCCCTCCCCGTGAGTTCAGACAGCTTTTAATACCTAGAGCTTTTGTGATTTTATTTTTTGTTAGGGAAAACCTTAGGTATGAAAAAAAACTCCATTCCAATATAAACAGACCAAGAGTATTTTCAGATTGTCAGGAAAGAATATTGGTAGGAATGGTTTAATTTCCCCTGCTCCGGGGTGGTTTCTTCCTCCACGTCTTCTCCTCAGAGGAGCTGCTTCTGCAGTGGTGTCCCATATGGGGCTAAATGGGATTGATACATGATTTTTGCTGCACTTGCTGAAGACCAAGGGCCCAAAGCCACAAGTTGCCATTACAACTGCGTTCCCTTGACTCTGCAAGAGATGCTCCAAACTGGTGCTCAGCTTTACACACCAAAAATGAACTTCCCCAGTTGAGTTAATAAAAATAAAGATGAACAAAGGGTTGCACAGAGTAGGAGTACAAGCTGGAAGACAATCTTCAAAAGCTGGTCCTTTAAAGTCAGTGGATAGATACCAGCTTATATGAACTGGGAATCTAGTCAGGGTTTTTAATTTCGGATTCAAACAGCAGAAAGATAAACATATATTTAACTTATAAACCTGTATCAGACTCTTGCATACTGTAAAAGCTGTTTAGATAACAGTATTCCCTTTTGTTGATCTCTGAAGCCATTTTTCAAAATATTTTTATGTTCCTTGAATTTCTGATATTTCATCTTATTAATATTTTTCTGTTTTATTGTTTTCAGAATTAAGTTCCTCTGCAGAAGCAAAATATGATGCTTTTCTAATAACAAATATCATTCCAATGTATCCTGCCTTCAAAAGTAAGTGCCCTTTCTATGGCTTTACTTCTCTTTCCCAACATTTTATTTTTTTAATGATATGTGTGTTGAACTATGGAATGAATTGACAGGAGAAGTTTAGAACGTAAAGTTCAGTTACCTGCAGCCAGCAAATACACATGGGCACCTGCATAGTTCTAGGTATGGGCAGGCAAAATACCACAAGAAAAGTTTAAGCTTTCAGAAAGGTTTATTTCCTTTGGTGCTGGGCTAAGATAAGAGCACAGACATGCTGTAGTTCAGCAGTTTTTCTTCATGCCACAATAATTAAATTTGTGCCAGACCATTCAGATTTTCTTGTCTCTAGCCCAGGCTAGTGCAGAATGTACTTAGGCAACATGGTTTTACTTCTTTTTATTTTATACTCCTGCCTGGAAGTGTGTACTTTGCACGTTGTTGTAGTTCAGGGACAAGTGATTATTTTTTATTTTCTATTCATACCCTAAGAGGGAGACCAAACATATTTATTACCTGTAAAGAACAAGGAAGAGGAAACCAATTTATGGAAAATGAGGAATGACTTAACCCTGGCTGAAACTTTCAGCACTCCAGGGATATAATATTAACGTTTCTTTTGTCTGCACATCCCTTTTCTCTCTAGTTTTGCCAAGAGGTAGGAAAACCGTCAGACTATTCTGGTGGCATTTTTGGCTTGGCAGGAATTGAGAAGCCTTGGAGGAATCTCAAGAGTCTGTTCTTGTGAGATTTCCAATTCGGATTTTAGGCCAGAGAGGTTTGGATAAACATCAAAGCCTATGGGAGGCTTTTTCTTTTTAACCAGAAAAGAGTGTTTTTAACTGAAAAACCTCTGAGTAGGAACAAGTGGTGATGTTTGCTGGAAATTTGAGCAAAGGCACTTAACTGATTACAGAGTGCAAAATTATTGGGGATTTCCCACTCTCAAATCACTTCATAAAAATGCTCTTTATGCTAATGTTAGTCTAAGCAAAGTAGCTGAGATGCTAATCACAGGAGAACAACCCACCCCCAGCAGCTCATTTTGTCTAGCCGCCTTCCTCTTCATCACAAGTGGGTGAAGGATTCCCCGGGAACAAATGCTGGAACTAATATTCCTGGGGAGTTCGGAACCGCCACATGTGTGCAGGTTGCAGTGCAGAGAGCTGGTTATAAGCTCATTATATGGAGCTTTTTCCACAACAGGGCGAATAGGAGGTGGCAGCTTTACGCTGTGCTGGCTTTGGTGGCAGCGCTGGCTGCAGAGGCCTCCTTCTCCGCTTTGTTAGACCGAACCCTGTGGTGGGGCCCTCTGCATCAGCCCCAGCAGGGAGCTCCCATGGCCCCAGAATCACAGTCCCAAGCAGTTGGAGGACGAGGCATATGGGGGAACTTGCTGAGGCTGGCGTTGCCAGGGGAACCATAGACTTAACAGTCTGAGCTGGCAAGATGGAAGTTAAACTTTTACAAGTTTGAGATGCTTTGTTTACACACGCTCCTGTGAGTGTTAAACTAAAAAGGAGAAAATAAGGAAAAGAATGATGTAACTGGAGATTCCAGTGTTTCCCATCTCTGCAAGCATCTTATCCTTGAGGAGGGTGTGGTGGGAGAAAGGGTATCACACTCCTCCCAAAAGTTGCTGTAATGAGATGCCATGCCGTAATGTGGTCATCCTTGACAGCACCTAATTTAAAAGTTAGGCATTTTGTATCCAAGGAGAATTTAACTGGAGGAATATGACCTTTGTACTTCCCTTTCTTTTAAATGTTTGTGTTTTGGTTTTAATCATGGTGCTGTTTCCTTTCTAGAAATGAAAAAAAACCCACAGCACCATTCCCTGTAACTAGATAAGAAAGACAAAGGAAATGTTTACAGGGACATGGAAAGCGTGTGAATAGCTGTTTCTAGTGCTTGGTGAAGGAACAGTAAGCTCTCTGTGCAGTCTCTGTGGCAATGCCAGCCTGGGAGCGGTACCGTGCATTTCCTTTATCACTGGTTGGGGACAAAAATCAACAGAGAACAAAGAAGTCTGAATAGGCTTTATTGACCACACTGAATGAAGCTGCAGTAAATCTGTAATGCTTAGTCTTCGATTTCCTCTGCCCTTGTGTGAATGATGTCCACTGGATTTGTATTTTCAGGGAAAAAAAATTAATTTATAATGTTGACATGTTTTGGGTCATCCAAATTTCGGTGTGTTTTATTTTTTGTTGTTTTGTTGATTTTTTTTTTTTTCCCCACGGGGTATTGGACTATTTCCAGA